CAGGCAGAAATTTATTTATACCCCCTTAGGGTGTAAGAGGTTAAAATAAGTGCATTTGTTCTTGAATTGAGGAGGTAAAAGAGACATTTTGCCAATGGAACAAGACAATTTATGCTTAAAATAAGGAAACACAATTGCATTGTCTTATTTCAAGTGCATGTTATCTAATTAACTTATTTTAAGATTAAAAATACTAATTCCATTGACAAACTATCTCATTTACCTACTCAAATTGAATACACTTAATTTAAGAAATGTTTACTTATTTCTAGATCTTTTTTGCAGTGTAGCTGACCAGGAGCCACAGGCGGAAATCAAGGCTGTTTTTTTATGATCTTGGAAAGTTAGAACATCAATTAATTTAAAATAATTTGAATTTGGGGTTAAGCATAAACTACTGCATCAATACAGCTAGCATGGAGGAGGAGATTATCCCGTGGTTCTGCTGAGGAAGCCTGCTTTGCTTTGGAAGCAGCCTTCAGGTTATCTGCACCATCCTCTCAAAGACGCCATTTTCCCTGTTGCTTTTGCACCTTTTCCTTCCACTCAACTTTCTGACTATCCTTGGATACAGCTCTCAATGAAGAGCCAAAATCTTTAGCAGCGACCCAGTGGCAGCTGCTGTCATCTGGATATGCTGGAAAACTGTCAAGTCAGCAGTGGAATGAAAACTTCAATTTTTTTATTTATAGCAAGCCATATTCAATACGATAAAATCCTGAAGTTTGTCACTGTTGTGTTCCACATATTGCTTTTTTGATAATATTGCAATTTATTTGGATGAACCTACAAATATAAGGCAAATATATTTAAAAATGATCTGAAGATTTGAAAGGACAAAAATATATGCAGTTATGTACAATCACTTTTTAAAACATTTTTTATTTCTATAATAATAATAAGCACATTTTCAACTAAAACAGGACACCTATGACGACTCAACTTGATTTTTATTACATTTTAACTGGAGCAAATGAATCAAAAATATAAGGGATCTATTGGCTTCCCTCATGGGTGCACAGTACCTGGATATATGAAGGGCTGTCCTTGCCACCAGCCTTTCACATCAATGACATAGAACATGCCTCCGAGCAGCAGGAAAGAGAAACAGCCCATGGTCATTACATATGACAACGACCTGGAGGAACAGACAGTTACAGCTACGTTTGACTCAGACTGGGGGGTAAACAAAGAAATCCTACAAAACCGGTCCTGATTTGGCCTAAAGCATCAGCTGTGGATCCCTGGCATCAACCCTGTAGATCTCTGCCAGCCTGCCATGTTCCCGTCCGTCTCTAAGTGCAAGAATGTTTGATGAAATACCACCTACTGTAAAATGGCGGCCGAACTGAACCTCACTGCAGTGAGCCTTCTTATTTATTTATCTTTTACCCCAGCTGAAGTTGGGCCAAAAAGGACTCTCAGCCAGGAGTTAATTACCTCTAGACATGCAGGCAGGGACTGTACTCAACAGCTCAATAACCTGCTCATGATGAACTGCCTATAAAAGCCAGGCAGGTGCAGTAGTAGCATGGGATGAGCGAAGCCCCCCTGAGGAAAATCACCAGAAATTTGCTTACACATCATGGATGTAATGGTGCTCTTCCTGCAGCAACATTAAAATGATTCACGTCGTTTCAGGGGTGGGAGCGACGCACAGGGTGGTGCAGTCAGCTACATCTGCAGAATTAACACCACCTTCTCTCTAATAAATCGTTACAGACATTTATCAAGTTTAGGAGTGTAAATAGTTTAGGAACTCCCCAGAAATTTATCTTTTTCTGTGGGAAAATGCTAGGAAGAGGAACCAGCCCTGTAGTTTACTGGAACAGTTTCATATCCCTCCCATCCAACACTCCCAACATGCAGGGGTGTTTATTTACAGTCAAAGCTGCTGTTGGAGGTAAGTAAACTCGTGTTTTAGCAGCTGTGATTTGTGCCGGCTGGAAACCCATCCGTTCCTCTTCTGTGTGAGGAAAAGTGGCTGGATTTAGAGGGTCAGGAAGCACTTACCAAAGGTTTTTATTGACAGGTATAAATCCTCCGTCTCGCTTGCACTTAGTAAGGATGGCTGCAGAGATTCCCTGAGGGTGGAAATGAAACAGATTTCAAATCGATGCGGGGCGATAAGGCAATACGTGAGGGGCTGCTAAAAACACGAAGCGGCGAATAGCGAGCCCGGCGAATTAAGCGATTATCTGGGAGAAGAGCGAGGCCAGGAGCACCAAGTCAGGGACGGGAAACTAAGGATAACTTTGGTCTGTTGGACCAAAACTTAAAATATAAACTCAGAGACAACATTATGTGTGGTTTCAACATAACAACCAGTAGAAAATGTGGGACAGCTTCTGTTGAGCAATGGTGTCCAATGATTTTGCAATTATGGCTGGTACTTCCTTAAATACTCACAGGGTACTTCATTTTTACCAAAGTTACAGAAAAAACAGTTTTGTGAATTCATTATCAGCAGTAAACCAAATACTGTATATGATATTATACTAATAGAGAGAAAATGGTTTTCTTTAGATTAAGTAAATCCCAAACCTCAAGTTGTGGAATTGGAGAGTATTTCCTTTTCTGATAATTATCAGTTAGGGAATTTTGAGGGTCCCAAAGACAAAATGCAAGCTCAGAGGAGACCGTGCTTTTTCTGTGGCAGCTCCTAAGCTGTGGAATGATCTGCCTCTGAGCATAAGACAGGCCTCTTCTCTTGCTGTTTTTAAGTCATCTTTTTTCCTTGGCTTTTGGCACAATTTGAGAGGTTTTACTTTGTTTTATTCTTTTTGTATACTAATATGTATTTTACACTCGTTTTTTTCTCTATTTTATAATTTTATTGTATTTTATGATTGTGTACAGCACTTTGGTCCTGTTCGTTGTATAAAGTGCTTCATAAATAAAGTTGGTATGGTATGGTAGGGAACTTTGACCTAATATGTGCCCTCTAATAGATTTCCAATGCTTCTGTTTTCTAGTAGATATTATGTTGTCATGGTTTTGGTTATATTGTGTTTTACTTTGCTTCTTGTTTCCTAGTTTTATTGGTTTAATTCCTTTTTTGTTGTAATTTCTAGATTTGTTAGTTTTCATGTTTTTCTGTTGTCCTCTGTTGCCCTCTTGTGTGTGTGTGTGTTCCTTTCCCCTTGGCTCCCTCGTTGTCTCCTCTCACACCTGCTCCTCGTCAGCTCGTTAGCCCTCCCTTTGTCTCTGTCAGCTATATATGCTCTCCCTCTGCTCTCACTCTTTGTTGGTTCCTTGTTGTTGCTGGTCCTGTCATCGCTGTCGTCATCTCACCTCGTCTCTCCCTGGCTCCTTGTACATGTTTTCCCTTGATGTCTCCATGATTCTGGTCTGTTACATTTTTAGTTGGATTTTTGGACTGCCTTTGTTAACCATTTTCATCATTAAAAGTATTCATCTCAGCCTCTCTACCTCTGCATTTGGGTCCTCCAAACTTCAACCAAGACGTGACATATGTGTAATGGTTTTCCGTAGAATGACGTCCCGGAGTATCAATGTTTAGGATGAACTCAGAATTCTTCCAAAAGTGAACATGCATATTACACAAACGAGCAGTGTTATTCAAAACACACTCATGTAAACTACTCTCCAGGCCCATATATGTGCAGATTCAATACCATGAAGCATACAATAAATATTAAGCATGAATGCATGCTCATTCTCTGATCTCTCTCATTTTTATGCACCTGTAGATCCCTCCGGTGGACCTGTTTCTGTGCGATCGTGTCACTTTTTTCACTGGCTAATATCTAATTTCTCTAAGAGTTGAATTCTGACTTCCTATGGAGA